CGAGGGATGAGGGGCGGGGTTTTTCTCTGAGTGACAGGAAATCCGACCACTCATAGTGGTCCCCTTTCACCTCTTCGCAGTACGCCACTGCCCCGGAACTTACAGCCCGCCCCTGAGAAGGAGGCGGTGCTTTTCTTTGAATGACACCCGACGTGGCCGTTTAAACTGTGAGGGATCTCCGCACAGCCAGTCACTACCGCCTGGGCGGGGTCTCTGCAGCAGGAAATGGGATTGTCTCATAAATGACAGCTGATGTGACCACTCACAGTAGCGATAGAGATGCAGCCGAGTTAGGCTGGTGTAGCGGAAACAAAAGACAGGCCCCTGCAGCACCTTAGAGCCGTGGTCCCCAACACGGTGCCCGCGGGCGGGGGCATTCGTGTGCGCCAGTCACTACCGCCTGGGCGGGGTCTCTGCAGCAGGAAATGGGATTGTCTCATAAATGACAGCTGATGTGACCACTCACAGTAGCGATAGAGATGCAGCCGAGTTAGGCTGGTGTAGCGGAAACAAAAGACAGGCCCCTGCAGCACCTTAGAGCCGTGGTCCCCAACACGGTGCCCGCGGGCGGGGGCATTCGTGTGCGCCCGCCACGTGCTCGGGGCTGGCCTGGCCCCGGGCGCGTGGCGCTTGGGGCGGGGGGCGCCGGCCCCGGGCGCAGCTATGGGGGCGCGCGGCTATGGGGGGCCCCGTCCCCGCCCCCTGGCGCCCGGCCACCACCACAGGTTGGGGTCCCCTGCTTTAGAGACTGGCAAGATGGTTCATTAGGCGATGAGCTTGCGTGGGCCAGACCCGCTTCCTCAGATCAACTAGTGGAAGAGGATTGGCATGAGCAGAAAAGGCCCTTTTCATACGTGCTCACTTTTTGTGACTGTAGCCCGTTCAGTGTCCCCAACCTTTTGGGGCTGCCGGGGGCCCAGGGCCGGGGCTGCTCACATGCCGGGCACGCGGGGGCGGGGCCGCCCATATGCTGCATGCCTGGAGCTGGTGCCACCCATGCGCCACACGCCCAGGGCCGGGGCCAGCACTGACCTCTCCCGCGCCCCCGGGGGTGGGGCCGCCTAACCGCCGCGCGCCCAGGGCCGGCACTGACAATGTGCTGTGCGCCTGGGGGCGGGTTCGGCCCCGATCATTTGACAGGTGCACAGAAATGGGTCGGTGGGCGCCATGGTGCTTGCGGGCACCGCATTGGGGACCACGGGTATATATGGTCATGCCTATTTTCTTCCACAATTTGATCTGAGGAAATGGGTCTGGCCCACAAAAGCTCATCACCTAATAAACCATCTTGTTAGTCTATAAGTGCTACATAGTCCTGTTTTTCACTCACAGTAAGGGAGATACCTGCCTCTCTCCTTTTACCCCCTCCCCACCATAATAGGGCAGGTGACAGGCTTTGCAAGTCAGGCATTAATTTGATTGACAGTTAAGTTAACCACTCACAATGTAAGGGAGTGCCGCTCCACCCTCTACTATACAGCAGTGTGGAAAGGGTCAGGTGAGAGTGTGAGGGGCAGCTGAGGTCTGCTCTCAGCATGGGGGCATCCAGCCATTTCCTGGCTCGGCCATGTGTCTGCTCAGGGCAGGGGCTCTGTAGCCCTGACTGCTGCCCTAATCCCGCCTCCTCCGGGAATGATGTGGGCCGGTGACAGTTGCTTTGTGGCAGCGCTGCCTGTGGGGCACTGAGATTGGGGCAGCCGCTGGGCTGTACATGGGCCTGACTGTAGTGAAGGGGAGTGGGAGCTTGGAAACAACGCCCAGCATCCTTCAGCATGTTCTCAGCCTTTGCTCATGGCTCTGGCGGCCTTCTCGATGCAGTGACTGATTCTTATTGGTCGTAGGAAGGTGCTGTTGGTACATGAGCCCTGCTTCTGTGTGGTGGTCATAACCGGTGTAGCAAGAGTTCGATAACCCTCATAGGTTTGGATAGTATGAAGGACTAGCTTCCTCACACAACTGTGTGAGTTATGACTGTGTTGGCACATTCATTTCGGCAATGTTGGCTGACCTAATGCTTACAAATTCAAAAAGAATTGCAAGGTCAAAAAAGAGCTAGATAGTCATGGATGGGTCTATACTCCATGAATGAATGGTGTCCCTTGCCTCTGTTCATCTGGAAATGGATGACAGGAGAGGGATCACGAGATGATTGCCTGTTGTGTTCTTTCCCTCTGGGGCATCTGACATTGGCCACTGTTGGCAGACAGGATACTAGGCTAGTTGGAGTTTTGATCTGACCCAGTATGGCCAGTCTTATGTAAATAACAGTTTGAAATTGAGGTCTTAATGAGCTCTCCACTGATCTTCAGGACCTGACTGTATTTACATAAATGCACCTACTTTGCCTATGTATCCAGCAGACTAGTTGTGTTGCCCACATAATCAATTTTGGCTGTTGTTAGGTTACAAATTACCTTTTGCTTTCCACAAGCTGCACTTCATTTAACTTTTTATGTGTGATATAGCCAAATATTTGGATGATAGTATTTAAACTGTAATATTAAATTAACTTTAACTTGGGATGTTGCAGATCATGTACTTTATTTACTTTAAGACTTTTCAAACCAAATTTTATACTTTTGGATAATTTAAGTATTGTACCCATATGTATAAAAAGCTTTTCTTGTCTGTATATTAGATCATTTTAATGTTAACTTTAATAAAAAAATTAAATTGAAGGTAGGGATAATGAAATGTTGTTATCCCTATTGTATGAGTAAAGGGCAGAAAATTTGTACTTAGCCTGCCCTGATTAAGGGGCCAGTCTCAACTTCTGCTTCTGTAATTTCCACTCCAGTTCATCTGATGAAGTGAGTTTTACCCATGATAGCTTATGCCCTAATAAATCAGATAGTCTCTAAGGTGCCATAGGGGTCTTTGTTTTTGAAATCACCAAGTAAAGAGTTCAGATGCCAGATTCCAGTGGAGAGTGAGGACTGTTGTTTTGGCTAGTAGTATGGGCCCTGCCTAAGAGTCATAGGTATCATTTGATCTGCCTCTCTTCTGTTTAAAGATAGAGTTGATTGGGCTCCATTGAGAAGCTTTTGTTTTGTTAAGG